CACTTCAGTCTCTGCCTCCATAGTCAAACCGTCCATGTTTTCACATAGCATTCTCCATGTCTCTTCTCTCCTTATAAGGATAACTACTCCAGCCAGGCCCGCATGGCTCAGCGGTTGAGCATCAACCGATGAACCAGGAGGTCACGGTTCAGTCCTGGTCAGGGCACATGCCCGGGTTGCGGGCTTGATCTCCGTGTGGGGTGTGCAGGAGGCAGCCGATCCATGATTCTCTGTCATCATCGATGTTTCTCTCTCCCTCTCCCTTCCTCTCTGAAATCAATACAAATATATTTTTTAAAAAGGATATCTACTCCAGTATGACCTCATGTTAACTTACAGCTTAATTACTATAACTTCAAAGACCCTACTTCCAAATAAGATCACATTCACAGGTACCAGGGGTCAGGATTCAACATATCTTTGATGAGGACACAATAAACCCCCACCTTAGAGATTAACCGTTCCCTCCAAATCACTTCTACTCTCCCTTCTACATATGCACATCACCCAAACTTGCCTCCCTTTCCTCTCCAAACCTCTATCCCATCTCTTTCCTTACTTATGTAAGAGTCCTTACAGCAGTGGGTGAGAAGTGCAACCTCCCATAGTTTGGAGTTAGAACAGGACTGTTTCTACAACCTAGAAGTTTCCAAGGAAAGGACATTTTTGTTCCAGTTGCTAGGATTCCCCCCAAAAGAAAAAATATATGCTATGGGGAAATCCAAATGAGAAATCTCGATGCAGTTTTGTGTTTGTTTGTTTTGTAGAAGAATTATTATAAATTGTGGTGAAAGTCTTTAAGTCCATTAAAATAAAGGTTAAATAAGATGCTACTGGTTGGCATACCAATCAAAACATCATAAGTAGCATTGTTTATTGAGGAAACTGCATCCAGAGTGTCAAACAATAATCTTGCAAAGGAACCTGAGGAATATATGTATTTGTAAGTAAGGGACCACCTATATTTGTAAAAAAATTGCTAACAAAATAGCACAGCAATGATGCAAATGCTCCTCCTCCGTGGAGGCATCTTCAAGTGGAGGTTGAAGAGTTTCAGATAACTGATGAGGAGAAAAAGCCATCTCTGTTTCTCACACTCCAGTCTATGTGTTCTGAGAAATTTTGTATTTTTATTTTGATAAAATTTTAAAATGTATGACCTAGCCAGTTTGGCTCAGTGGATAGAATGTCGGCCCGTGGACTGAAGGGTCCCGGGTTCAATTCTGGTCAAGGGCACATACCTGGGCTGCAGGCTCAATCCCTGGCCCTGGTCAGGGTGCATGCGGGAGGCAACCAATCAATGTCTCTCTCTCCCATCGATGTTTCTCTGTCTCTCCCTTCCACTCTCTCTAAAAAAATCAACGGAAAAGTATCCTTGGGTGAGGATTTAAAAAAAAAATTAAGCCTGGCCAGTGTGGCTCAGTGGTTGAGTGTCGACCTATGAATCAGGAGGTTGGGGTTCGATTCTCAGTCAGGGCACATGCCCGGGTTGCGGGCCTGATCCCCAGTGTGGGGCATGCAGGAGCCAACGGATTGATGATTCTCTCTCATCATTGATGTATGTCTCTCTCCCCCTCTCTGAAATCAATAAAAAATATTTTTTAAAAATTTAAAAATGTATATGAATATTCTGGATCACTGACTTGTATACCTTATAAATGAGTGATGGAACACAACGCAGTGCTTCATTTGCATTATGAGGTCCCTAAAATGACAATGCTTAATTTTTAATGCAATGGGAGCATGTCTGGCAGCTCTTAGGTTGGCATATCCTAAAATCATAATAATCATAACTCAAGCACTCTTGAATTTCTGTTGTGCTTTTATAATCAGTTATAAAGATGAAATGTATCTTTCACAGTAACAATTTACAATGGAAAGATATCTGCACTGAAAAAACTTAAGAATTGAGACTTTCAGCTGACATTCGGAAAATGACAATGTGGCAGAATAACAAGGACAGGTATGTTTTCTCAGGCTAAGGAGAAAATACTATAATACTCCAAGATGTGCTTGTGCAAAGTGGAAACCAAATGATACAATAATGTGCTGTATAAATAAAGGCTGTCCATCTGTCCAAACAGAAAAAAAGGGGAAGGAATAACTCATTATGTATCACATGGTAATGATTAACTCAAAATAAAAAGTATTCTATATCATTATTTATATTATTGCAAGGGGATCGATCTATTATGGAATGGTCCACATTTGATTAATGAGAAGGTTTAGGGCTATGTCTAATGGCCTCATATAAAGAAGGTCTTGTGTAAAGTAAGTTAAGTAATTTGAATTGGATCAAGTAGTTTTTCTATTTCAATTCAACACGTATGTTCAGAAGGTTTACTATGTGGCAGTCAATGTAGTAGACACTGAATATGAAGACCACTAAAAAAAAGACCTCTACACTCAAGGGAGCCATAGTACAATGGGGAAGACAGACAAATCAATGCAATAAAATGTAATCTACACTAATAAAAGAGAAAGATGCAAATTGACTGTACCTTCATGACACCCACCAGCCAATCAGGAGTGAGCATGCAAATTAACCCAACAAAGATGGTGGGTTAATTTGCATACATAGCCGCTGAGCAGCCAGGGGTGGGGCAGGACGCTTGCGTCGTTGCCATGATGACGATGCAGGCATTCCCCACGGCCCCAGCCGCTCTGGGCCTCTGGGCAGCATGGGAAGGCGGAAAGGCAGTGCCCGGCAGCCAGGGGAAGGAAGGCCCATTCTTGCACGAATTTTCATGCATCAGGCCTCTACTGGAATATAAAGAAATGTACACAACTGTTCAGGAGATTTCTTAAAATTCTGTGTTTATCACAACCTTGACTAAGAAAAAAAAGAATGCAGGTGTCAGCTCTACGTATTAGGAAATTTCTCAGTATGCTGTTACAACTATTTCTCTTTGAGAGGGAGGTCAAATTGTCTATATTATCTTCACTAGGTTCTCAGTGTCCAGCACAGGTGCCTGGGATATACTATTCCCCTCAAGTATTTTGGACACTAAGCATGGATTTGGTTTTAAATATATTATATCCCTAGCTGGTTTGGCTCAGTGGATAGAGTGTCGGCCTGAGGACTGAAGGGTCCCAAGTTCAATTCCAGTCAAGGGCATGTACCTCAGTTGCAGGCTCAATCCCTGGCCCCATCCAGTCCAGGTGCCTGGGAGGAAACCAATCGATGTGTCTCTCTCAGATCAATGTTTCTCTCTCTCTGTCTCTCCTCATCCCTTCCACTCTCTCTAAAAATCAATGGGAGCCCTGGCCTATTTGGCTCAATAGATAGAGCATCGGCCTGTGAACTGAAGGGTCGCAGGCTCGATTCCGGGCAAGGGCACATGCCCGGGTTGTGGGATCAATCCCCAGTGTGGGTTGTGCAGGAGGCAGCTGATCAATGATTCTCTCTCATCATTGATGTCTCTATCTCTCTCTCCCTTTCCCTTACTCTCTGAAATCAATAAAAATATATTATATAAAAAATCAATGGGAAAAAATAAATATACTATAAATGATAGATAACTTTAGTAGTAGGATCTAGCATAAAGAATGTTTCAGTTACCAACTATCTCCCTAAGTAAGATAAAGCAATTGATCTGAGAATAATCCACCCCCCAACTCTTTCATCTGGGTCTGAGGCGGAAATAAACCAACGACAGATAAACCACCAATTCTGATGTAATAACCTTGGAGGAGACAGAAGAGTGAAGAACAGCCGTTGATATGAGAGAGGAAAAGAAGTGTTTATGAAAAGCCTTAAGTCTAGTCATAGCTCAAGACTGTTCTTGTTGGTATTATAAATATTCTTTTTGGGTGATGCTCTTAGACCCAACCCAATCGCTCTGACTTTCTCAGAACAGTAGCCTACCCTGTCAAGTCAACCACTTGTTTTATGTTACACTGACTACCACTGCCACCATATAACATGATCTTAATTATTCCTTTTTGTTCCCAAACATGTAAGCTACTGAGAGTAGCGATCTCCTATGTCTTGTTTCTAGCTATATCCCTTGCACTTAGAAGAGTGTCTAACACAGAATAGCTGTTCAAGAAGTGCTCTCATGCCGAAACCGGTTTGGCTCAGCGGATAGAGCGTCGGCCTGCGGACTGAAGGGTCCCAGGTTCGATTCTGGTCAAGGGCATGTACCTTGGTTGCGGGCACATCCCCAGTAGGAGATGTGCAGGAGGCAGCTGATCGATGTTTCTCTCTCATCGATGTTTCTAGCTCTCTATCACTCTCCCCTCCTCTCTGTAAAAAATCAATAATATATATATATATATATAAAAAGAAGTGCTCTCAGACACAGCTATTCAAAGGGAAAGGATGTCCCAAACATGACAGTATCCTCTGGGATCATGGATGGGACAATGGAGGTACAGGTAGTTGAGAAAAATTAATAAGACAGAAAAGGGTTTGACAACTGACTGGGGTGTTTTGAGGGAGGGAGATGTAAAGCATGTACCAGAGGAGCTATTACATGGTCAGAGTTTGTTAAATATTGGCCAATAATAACAACATCATACATGTCTGATGTTGAGAAAACAGTGGGTGGAAATAAGAGTTCCCAACCGAACTGAGGAAGAAGAAGAGTGTCAACACTGCGGGGGTGGAGGACGGGCTCGCGGAGGGCTAGAGACCCACCTAGGAGCCCAGGATGAGGATGAGAAGCAGAAAGTGACGTCATAAAACCAAGGGCGTCAAGGGGAGTTTTCAGAAAACTCAAGAGATGTCGAGAGATTCAATGCCAGCTTAATTAAACTTGTCATCTGTCCCCCTCCTGTATGTGACGCATTCTGACACTCTTTATCTCGCGGCCTTTTCAGTGGCGTAACACTCACTTCGCCAAAACTGTACCCGGCTGACAAAACTGTCGACGACAGAGAAGCCCAAGTCACCCTAGCACTGCCTCCTCTTTCTACCCCGGCACGTCCGGGTCCACATCTCTGCCCTCCCTCCGCTGTCGCTCCCCGCCTTCCGCCGAGCGCCCCGCTCCGTTTACCTGTCCGGACGCCCCCTGAGAGCGCGCGGGCTCCGGACGGTGGGGCGCAGTTCAGCGGAGGGTCTCTAACTCCCGGCTCCCAGAGAAGGCTGGGACCGGACGCCGCCAGCTTCCGGGTACGGAGCCCCGCCCGCGCGCGGCCTCTTGGGAATGTGAGCGCTCCTCCAATAGGAGCGGGTGGAGGGGTGGGGCCTGTGCGTTCCCAGCCGCCGCACTTCCCAGGAGCCACACTGCATTCTGGGAGTGGTAGTGCGGACTGGGTTATAGCCCTAGTCTGTCACATGTTCAGTCAATAACTTGCTTAGAGGACGTCAAGCACTATTTCTCCAGGAAAACGAGAGGCTGCGGTGTCACAAAGCATCTACCAGCATTGAGTGGGCGGGATAAATGAAGAGCCAATCTTGTCCCACCAACTGCCTGCTTAGTCTCAACAGGTAATGTACATACATACAAAGTAGAATTCATTTGGCAGGGACTCCCTCTAATTTACCCACAAAATTTTCTAACCTCTTTGGAACCCTCTGGTGAGGACCTGCTTCCTTAATCTCATTCTTTTGCAATAACAACTACTGCTGCTACTACTACTCTACTTAAAATTTTTAAAATTGATTTCAGAGAGGAAGGGAGAGGGAGAGAGAGATGGAAACATCAATGATGAGAGAGAATGGGATTGAGCCCACAACCTGGGAATCTAACTGGGACCTCCGGGTTTATAGGTCAATGCTCAACCACTGAGCCACCCCCTGGCTGGGCACTATTACTCTACTTTGATCTAAGCTCCCCCATCTGCTTTTACATCCCCATTCCCTTTTGCCAACTCTGAGTCTAGCTCCACTGATGAATCCTTTTGTCTCCTGACTTTTCAATGGTTCCCTGCTAATTTGCTTTTTCTTATCAACACTTAAAGGCTGTAAAAGTTTCTCTCATCTAAAATATTCCTCAATGCACACCCTCCAAACCCCTTACACATACAGACTTAACCTTGTGGCCTTCCTCCCACCTCTCCTTTCTAGTCAAAATTCTCAAAACAAATAGACACTTTTCAACCATTATCATACCTCGATTCTGCAGGACTTTGCATAGATTATTCCCTCCTCCTTGAAATCTTAGTTCCAGCTGCTTTAATAAAATACCACAGATCCAAAGGCTTAAACAACAGAAATTTATTCCTCACAGTTTTGGAGGCTAGGAAGTTTCAGACAAGGTGCCAGTATGGTCAGGTTCTGGTGAGGACCTGCTTCCCAGCTTGCAGACTGCTGTATTCTTGCTGTATCCTCACAAGACAGAGAGATATCCTCACTTACACATCTATTACAAGGGCACTAATCCCATTCATGAGGGCTCCACCCTCATGATCTAATTACCTTCCAAAGGCCCCACCTCTATATACCATCACTTGATAATTTGGGCTCAAATATATAAATTTGGGTGGGGAGCACAAACATTCACTTCATAGCACCCTCTAGTCGCTTAGCTCTTTCTAAGATGTTGCATTCCCCTGGTTTCTCTCTCACTTCTGTGGCAGTTTCTCATTTTCCTTTGAAATGTTCATGTTCCATAGGACTCTGCCCTAGACTCTTTTCTTTTCTTACTCTTCACACTTTTTTGGGTGATCTTAACTATTACCATTGCTTTAGTTGTCAGTATGCTGATTATTCCCACATATAGGAAGACCAGACAGAACTCCTGTAAGACTGAAATATCTAATGACAGCTAGGCATCTCTTTCAGGCACCTAAAACTTAATAGTATTCAGTTGGCCTAATACATGTCTACTCTCCCCTCTCCCATAACCTGCTCCTCCTCCTCTAATCCCATTTCAGTGACTGGCACAACCATGCAATCAGTTGCCCACACTAGGAAACTGGGTATCATTTTACCCCTCACTTTCACTTCCAATAACCAAGTCATTAATTCTATTTCCTAAATATTTTACTTTCAAGCTTCAGTTTTCTTATCTTTATAATGTGGTTGAGTGTCGACCTATGAACAGGAGGTCATGGTTCTATTACCGGTCAGGGCACATGTCCAGGTTTCGGGCTCCATCCCCAGTGTGGGGCATGCAGGAGGCAGCCAATCAATGATTCTCTCTCATCATTGATGTTTCTATCTCTCTCTCCCTCTCCCTTCCTGTCTGCAATCAATAAAAATATATTTTAAAAACAAATAAAATGAGGAAAATAATGGTGTCTATGTTCAAGGGTTATTGAAATGCTTAATAAGCAGTCGTGCCAGGCAGAGAGTAAGCACTCAAGGATAAGTATTTATTAAATAAGCATTGTGTTTGTCATTAGTTCTCCTTCATTAGATCTTAATAATGATAACCAGCATTTACTTTTATTTAGTTTATATTTAGCGATAAATAAAAGGGGGAAAAACAAAAAATGGTGAGATAGTTTGTGCAAGTTACCCCCACTCCATTCCTCAGTATTTTTCCAAGCATGACACAATAGAGTACTGGTTACGAGGCACTATGCACATGGTTCTACTCTAACGTGTACAGGATATACTATATCTTAGTTATTGTTACCAGCTCTGGATGAGCTATCAAGAAGCAAAAGTACATTCGGAGAATCGTAACTAAAATGATCTGGGCACTAGAAATCAGAATTAATGTCTCTGTGCCTATTGTATCTTCTTCACCACCTGCTCTTCTCACTTGAGATTGCATCTAAAACAAAATCTCTTCACTTCAAAATCCTACTTAAAACTTTCATTGCCTCCCTGTTATACAGGGGATAAAGTCCAAGATGAAGGCTTCCATGAACTGACCTCTCTCTATCTCTCCTGCTTTATATTCTGCTCCTCTCACCAACACATCCTGTGTTCAGGTCTGCTCCTGTATTATGGTATTCACTCATCCATCCATTCATCCACCCATTCATACATTCCTTCAACAAATGTATACTAAGTACCTACTGTGAGCCAGCCTTGTTCTGGACACTGGAGATAAACAGTGAATGAGAAAGACAATGTCATTGCCTATATAGAGTTAGTACCTCATTACCATGCTCTTCCATGCCTCAGTACCTTTGCACATGCTTTCTCCCCTGTCTAAATCTTATTTATTCTTCAAGACCTAGCTCAAATATCACATCTTCATTTTCTAGCAAAGTATATGCTTCTTTTCTCAACTTTATCCACCCTCTGCAAAGGCTTACTTTTCATATTAATATTAGTTTTTTATTAAATACCGATTCTTTGAGAGACAGCATAATATCTTAGAAAGAGAATGAGTTTTAGAGCCTAAATTATTCCACATTCTCTCCTAACGTAATATCATCTATGTTCTAAAACTTGTATATCTATCATAAGCCTTTATATTGGGAAATCAGAGAAGGTATCTCTGAGGAGGGGGGGCATTTAAGTTGAAACCTGAATGTCAAGGAAGAATAAGCCACAAGAAGATGAGAGGGATCAGAAATAAAGCCAGCATGACTGATGGTAGTGGAAGTGAGGGGAGAATGGTAGGAGAGGAGATCACACTAGCCTTGTTTCTGCTCCTCAAATAGGTCAAGTTCCTCCCTATCTTCTGATCTTTTCACCAGCTCTCTCTCCTTGGAGTTCTGTTCCCTCTCATCTTCTTGTGGCCAGAGGGTCTTGCAAGGCTATGAAAGCTAGGATAATACGTTTGGGTTTTATTCTAAGTGTAATGGAAAATAGAGAGGTTCAAGCAAAGGAGTGATATGGTCTGATATCTGGGTTTAAAAAATTATCAGGCTTTATTTAGCATGCTGATACATTGTCTATTCTGGCAATAATTAATGTGTACAGCTTTCAAGGTATGTTAGTTAATTTCCAAGAAAAAATGCTTTTGGATATGTACACTAAAGTATATGTGGAACCGTTCAAATAGGTGACTTTATAATTTTACAATTTAGAAGTTCTGTTACCATTTCATCAAGTTACTAAATAATAGAAACTCTTTATAATCCATGATTTTAGATAGCTTGAGTTTGTGGAGTCAAAGTTTCAATTTCCATTTTAGTTCCTGCAGCTACCAAACCTGGAATTAAAGAACCGATGGTTTACTTTAGATAACCTAATCCAGTCTCCTCGTTGTATACATGAGAAATTTTCTGGTCTTGACAAAGATTAAAAAGCAAAGAAGAGATGTAACCTGGATTACAAACCAGCTCACATGTACCAGATGCTCTAGAAATGTCTGTTGGGCTCAAATAAGACATATATACTACACAGAGCTCTAGTCATATGTGGGATACCCTGGTTTCACATTCTGCTTACCATGATCGGATCTCATTGTGTTCTTTTATGGTCCACAAACAAATCTAGTGACTGTTGCTTTGGCATAAAAATCATTGACATTGAATAAATAATGGATAAATGAGTACCCTGGGAAAAAAATCATTGACATTATTGCAGTTCTCCACTGATCACCAGTGCTGCTTATACTTCTTTCTCCTGGATATTTGGACTTGGGCAACTTTTCTTCCTCTCGTCAATGCTTGAAACAGACTTACATCAAGAATGCATGTTCGACCGGCTGGCATGGCTCAGTGGTTGAGCACCGACCTATGAACCAGGAGGTCACAGTTTGATTCCTGGTCAGGCACATGCTTGGGTTGTGGGCTCAATCCCTAGTGTGGGGTGTGCAGGAGGCAGCCGATCAATGATTCTCTTTCATCATTGATGTTTCTCTCTCTCTCTCCCTCTCCCTTCCTCTCTGAAGTCAATACAAATAAAAAGAATGCGTGTTCTCCTTTGAAATTCACAATCAGCAGAGGGAGCTAACACGTTATCAATATATATAAAATCATTGACATTTGAGTATGAGACAGTTTGTTTCTCTTTGCAGCTCATTCCAGTCACAGTCATCACATGTCCTGTTCTGTTCATCTAAGCCATCAGTGGTTCCAACACCAGCCTTGGCAAAGCAATTGTGGATTACTTCAGAGTTGTCTGTCCCACATAGCAATGAAATTTTTCATCATTTCAAAACATACCATTTCTTTATATCATCAATAAAACAATGCTTCTCATACTAAACCAAGCACTTACAACATCCAACTTTTTAAATTTATTACATCTCAGTCTAATGGCTACACATAGCCATGATGCTAGTAGGCAAAAAAAAACAACAAACCAAAAATACAAAGTAAAAACCCCACAGACTTGTTTTAATTTAAACCTCCAGTG